AAAAAAAAAAAAAAAAAAGAATACAAGTAACAATAAATGTTGGTGAGGATGTAGAAAAAAAGATACATTCATACATTGTAGATGGGAATGAAAATTGGTACAACCACAATGGAAAGTATGGAGATTAATTAAAAAACTAGGAATGCTACTACCATTTGACCTAGTTATACCACTCCTCAGTATATACACAAAGGAGTTAAAATCAGCATACTACAGTAACGCAGCCACATCAATGTTTATAGCAGCTCAATTCACAACAGATAAGCCAACTCAGGTGCCTTAAACAGATGAATGTTATATAATTTATTTTTATAAAACATTACTCAGCCATAAAGAATAATGACGACCTTGGGGCTTGGGATGTGGCATGCGTGAGGCACTGGGTTCGATCCTCAGCACCACATAAAAAAAATAAAATAAAGATATTGTAAAAAAAAAAAAAAGAATAATGACCTAATGATATTTGATGGTAAACTGAAAGATCTGAAGACTACCATTCTAAATGAAATAAGCCAATCCCCCAAAACCAAAGGTCAAAAGGTCCCTCTGATATACAAATGCTAACACACAACAAGGGGGAGGGAGTGAATAGAAATTCATTGTATTATACAAAAGGGAATGAAGGGAAGGGAACACCAAAAAAAAGTTTGTTAAACTTTAGCCCTTTTTATGTTTTATTTTGAGATAGGGTCCTGCTAAGTTGTTTAGGGCCTCACCAAGTTGTTGAGGCTGGCTTTGAATTTGCCATCTTCCTGCATTAGCCTCAAATGGGATTATTAGGAATAGGAAAGGCAGTGGAATGAATCTGACATCACTTTCCTATGAATATACCAGTGAATCTCAATATCACATACCTCCACAAGACTGGGATACTAATTAGAATAAGATATACTCCATGTTTGTACAATATGTCAAAATAGACTCTACTGTTATGTATAACTAAAAAGGACACATTTTAAAAAAGAATCTTTGATGAAAATCATTTCAAAACCTATTATTACAGCAGAGTGCGTGGACCATGCCTGTAATCCCAGCAGCTTGGGAGGCTGAGGCAGGAGGATTGCAAGTTCAAAGGCAGCCTCAACAATTTAGTGAGACCCCAAGTAACTTCGTGAGACCCTGTCTCAAACAAAAATTAAAAGGGCTGAGGATACAGATCAGTGGTTAAGCATCCCTGTGTTCAACACCTGGTACACACCTCCCCCCCAAAAAAACTGTTATTATAAAAGCCTATCTTAGCAACAATCTTACACAAAGGAAATCTATTTTTTGTTTATTTGTTTGTTTTTGAATAAGGCAGATAATTACAAAAAAATGTAAGGTCACATAATTGTAAGATGACACAATTAAAACTCAGTTCCATTTGTTAATAATATCTGACCTTTTACAAGCTACCAAACATTTAATTTATAAGGGTCATTTTAAAGATAAACTGAATGTTATAAACAAAGGTGTTATAATCACAAGGAAAGTTTAAGGGAAAAGAATTAATTGTTTAGGCTGATTTTAAAGAAAATATAAAACACTTCAATTCAATTTTTATCTGGGAATAGAGACACACACGTGTAATCCCAGCGACTCAGGAGGCTGAGACAAGAATAGCAAGTATGAGGCCACTCTCAACAACATAGTGAGACTCAATTTGGGAAAAAAACAAGGGGGGGCTAGAAATGTAGCTAAGTGGTAAAGTACCCCTGGTTAAATCTCCAGTACTAAAATAATTAAATAAAATAAAATCATATTTAAAAAACTATCATAACTGAGAATATCTTTAATAGGAAACCAAATACTTGACATTGAACTTGCCCCAATAAAATGAAAGTTTGTTAACACTTTAGTGTAACAAATGCAATATATCATATATAACATTTAGGAAATTCTATCCAACATTATAGCAAAGTATGAATATAACTCAAGTTCTTTATCACTTAGAATACACGTCAACAAATTTTGATAAAAGGCCAGGTTTTGCAGATCATACATACTGTCTCTGGTGCATATTCTTTGGTATTTATTTTATCAAAAACCGTTCTCCGTTTTTTAAGTTTAAAAAAAGAACTAAGATAAACAAATTCAAAGAAATCTTAGAAATACAGGGAAATAGTAAAACAAAGTAGTATATCCTGGTTATTACATCTAGCTGTCTCTGAATTAATGCTGAAATACTAAAATGTGGGAGGCTGGCTGGTTTGTTCTGCAGTACTGAGGATTGAACCCAAGGATTCTCCACAGCCCCAGTACTTTTTGATTTTGAGACAGGGTCTTGCTAAGTTGCCCAGGCTGGCCTCAAAGGCCCTGGGTTCAATCCCCACCACCACACACACACAAAAAAATGGGAAACTGAATCTAGTTAGAAATTCTTATTATAAGAAAAGAACATTTCAAACCCAACACAAAGGAAAAAAAATAAACTACTTATTTGGACCTAGAATGCTAAATTATTGGCAGTAGTCTTTCGACTGTATTTATCAAATTTCTAATGTCAAATCATGTTTTTATATGTCTACTTACACGTTCCTCTCGTCCTTCAGCAAGAATAACAACAATTCTGCCTTGACGTTTACGGCCAGTTCTACCCATTCGTTGTATAAGACGAATTGGGCTCTTCTGGGCATCAAAACATATTATAAGATCAACTTCTCCTATATCCAAACCTTCTTCACCAACACAGGTAGAAACCAATGTGTTGTAACCACCATCACGAAACCGCTTCACTACCTAAAATAAAAATGACTTAAAAACTGCTAGATACAAATGAAAGAGAATTGCAGATCAAGGCATATTGTTCTCACTCATTACAAAATGGTGAATTCAGATTAAAAATCAACTTTAATGATATCACAGAACATGAAAAAATGCATAAAATGGCAATCTAAGCAAAAGAAATTTTCATAAAATAGAAAGAGCAGTCCCAATTATGTTTCTATAAGGAATTGTCAACAATTTTAACAGTTTCTCACTCAAGGAGAAGGTTCTGATTTTATTTTTTTTAAACATTTATTTTTTAGGTGTAAATGGACACAACACAATGCCTTTATTTTTATGTGGTGCTGGGGATCGAACCCAGGTCCCACCCATGCTAGGCGAGCACTCCACCGATGAGCCACAATCCCAGCCCCCTGATTTTATTTTTTAGCATAACTAAAAGGGGCATAGGAGAAGTAAATAGCCTACAGAAATTACCCCTACTTGTTACAACTTAGACCTAAATGTATGATTAGGTAAATTAAGAACGCTTTATTATTCCCAGAATTCATATCATATCTTTTCATAATGTCATTTCAGGTTTTCTCTAATTATTTTATGAAACCACAATAGTATAAGAATGAATTAATGAAAAAAACAGCAAAGCTTTTTGAAAAACTTTCTAAAGACTTATAAGCTTAGTCTCAACTGTGTGAGCCCCAGTTTTTCCATACATATCAACACCACCGCTGGCAGGTTTGTATATGGGGGAGTAATAATGGTGGTAATTAAAAGAGAAATGCAACATCAAAAGCTGAATTGGCTGATGATAGTTACTATAATGAAGGGCATACTATGTACCAAGTACTAAACTTGAGCACTAGATACTGTTCCCAACAATCCTATGAGGTAGATATCATCAACCCATTTTATTAAAGAAACTGAAGATCTGAAAGGTAAGATTAAGATGTTTGTCTAAACTCTCATAAGTACTTATTAGCATTTGAATTTAGATATCTGACTCCAAAAATTTATTATTTTAATCCTTAAAAATAACCACCTGAAAAGTGAGGTAATAAAATATAAACATAAAGTTATCAGGTTAATTCCTCTTATAAACCTTTACAGTATCATTGATCAAATGATTTTCCTTCAATATGGAAAACCGAAGTACAGGGAGAACTAATTATCAGAACTGGAATCTGTAATGGATTAAGATAAGGAAAGATTTGGATTAAGACAAGGGAAGATTTAATATTATATGTATCTAACATAGTAACACAGGTGTCCTTTTTTACCAGAGAAGGGAAAAAATGGGCCACAGTGCAAGAGGTAGAAAAATGAAAGAGTTTAATATAGTCAATAGATTAATAAAGGATGTTAACGGTCAAAATTTAAAGTGTTACTTATTTGCCTAGGATTGATCTGTCATTGAATATTCACTTCTGTGAACTTTTCCCATGCATTCAAGACATATATTCAATTGTATATTCAACATCACTACTGGATATTTAAAACAATGCTACTCAAAGTGTGGTCAATGATCTGTTTATACTGTGCCAGCCTGTGAACTATTTATTACTGGTTGGCAACAAGTACAAAAATTGAAAGTAATGATTTAGAAATTTGACAGAATAAGTTTTATATTTGCTGACTCTAATGAAAAAAGTAAAACAGACTAGAGCTTTGGTTTTCATCAGTTTTACTTATCTAGCAATTCATTTTTATTATATTCTTCAAAAGTATCAGTTTGTGAAGCAAGTGAAAGGAAATAAAGTGGTCATTATCAGTTTTGGAAAAACATTAATCTAACAGGCCTGACACAATTAACATATCCAAAACTAAGCTCCAGATACTCTCTCCAAAACCTGTTTTTACTGCACTCTATCCATCTAAGTTGATAGTTAGCTGCTCAAACAAAAAAATCTGGAATCATCCTACACTTAATATTCCTTTATCTCACATACTATTCTAATTTGTGGATAAATATTGTCAGTTTGACTTCTGAAATACACCTCAATTATTTCTCACAAGCTTTCCTACTACGACTCTAGTTCAAGCCATCATATCTTCAGTTTGAATAGTAGTAAGCCTCAACTGTTCTCCCCGTGTCTACCAAGGCGATTCTTTCAAAATATAAATAAAATCATTAACTTACTCTGCTCCAAACCCTCCAATGATTTCTTCTCATCTCATTTAGGGTAAAAACAGAAATCATTAAAATGGAAATGACCAGGCTGGGTGGGGATACAGCTCAGTTGGTAGAGTGCTGGCCTTGTATGCACAAGACCCTAGGTTCAAACCCCAGCACCACAAAAAGATAAATAAATAAATAAAATGGAAATGACCAACAGAGCCCTAAAAGATCTGCCTCTGCTGTTCCTCCTTGACCTAATCAATTTTTAAGTAAATGGATGATTTAATCACAACTATTTGCATAAAAGCCCATTTCAGAATAAAATGGCTGTAATGAAAGTAATTATATAAAGTAATAATAAAAAGAGCTGTTACCTTGGCCTACATAAAAGGATTATTGATATAAATAAATAAATTCTAACTCACTCAAATTGAACTCAGTGGCACTTGACTACTGAGCCACACCTTTAGCCCTATTTTGTATTTTATTACAGAGAGACTCTCACTGAGTTGCTTAGTGCCTCGCTAAATTGCTGAGCCTGGCTTTGAACTTGCAATCCTCCTGCCTCCACCTCCCAAGCCTCTGGGATTACAGGTGTGCACCACCGCACTAGGCCCAGTTAAGTTTCTTACAGGGCCTAACAAGATCAGGAAATAGTGACTTCAGGTAATATTGACACCGGCAAAGACCAGATTGGATATTTCCAATAGACATTGTATTTCAAATATTGAAAATGCTTGACCCCCCCAAAGGCAAAAAATTTGACTTTATTTTTCATTTATATATAACTGTTAAAATTAGCAATAATGGGCTGGGGATGTGGCTCAAGCGGTAACGCGCTCGCCTGGCATGCGTGCGGCCCGGGTTCGATCCTCAGCACCACATACAAACAAAGATGTTGTATCCGCTGAGAA